TTTTTTTTTTCTTTACCTTTAAAAAAAAAAATATTAATTATGACAAGGTGAAAACGATTAAAATGCAGAAATAACCGCGAATATTAATAGATAAACTCGATCAAACACGACTTCTCACTCGACCAGACAGAAAAGCGGAACGTAACTACGGTAATATCAAAATTGACCAGAGAGAGAGAGAGATTTCCCTTCGCAAGCAACGTAATTAATTACACGATTGCCCCTCGGTGGCGTCTCGATACCTGGTCTCGATACGCTCCCCACGATTACCTTATCTCCATTTTAAAAGCAAGAAAACAAGCGTCATTGGCCGCGGTCGCATCTTTGAACGGAAACCCGCGAGAGAGGAGATACATAAGACGTATTACAGATATACGGGAACGGTCAGGTAGAGCTCACGTACGTTAAGGTCGTCGTTAGCCGGTTATTATGTAGCCGATATGGCTCCGAGGCAATTAATACTATTGTTATGATTCAGACGAATACGTCATATGTGTCTGAACGACGATGCAACGGCGCGTTTTCGTTGGTCAGTATTCGACTATAATAACTTGCAGCTACTCGCCTCCGAACCAGCTTAGATCGTTCCACATTAAGCTTAGAAACCGCTTTCTAAATTAATGCATTGGGAAAAATGCGTGTTCGCTCGCCACCTGGAACGGATGTAATTAATTGTTCAGTGTCACAACGATATATACAATACGGTATGGAAATATCGAAATATAGTGGCTATAGTTTGATTCGTGGAAAGGAATCCTGAAATTCGGGAAAAGTGGCTCGAGAGAAAAAGAGAGATATGGTGCAAAAGAACTGAGACGCATGATAATAATCGGTGATCGTACATATGCTCTCTGCAGTGATTCAACGAAGGAAACGTCGATGATAACGTCGGATGTTCGTGAAAATTTTGCGGTAAAATTTTCTTTGACTCGTTCCAGGACGATGGAAGGAGTATCGAAAGGGTGATATCGAAACGACAGATGTTGCTGACGATGAGATTTCGACAATAGGAGATAATAAATAAGCAATTATGTCGAATAATAATCTCGGTGAAGGGAAATCTTTTACGCTGATCCAAGATGTAAAAGTAACGAACGAGAAGTACGACAAGAACAATGCGGTCGCCCCGCACAAAAGCAACGAGGAAATGGTCAAAAAGTCGAGCAAAGCGACTCAGATCGATCTTATCCAATTTTCTTACGGTACGCAGAGAATCAGGCCACCTTCTTTGGGTTATTTGCCGAAACAGATGCACACCAGCGAATCCAGTTATCCAAGCTATAATTCGAAGAGTTCGTCTCAGAGCGAGTTAGTTCTATCGCCAAGAAACAAGAACAATCGTTATGTAGCTTTAGATATGAGATCGATGAGCAGTCTTCCATTTTCAAATAGCCATACCTCGATAAATAACATGCCGTACACATGTTGTTGTACGTGCGCGGGATCACCAGGATCACCAACACCCTCCTCCAGACAAATGGAGGAACAAGATGGTCCTGAAGGTCTTTCGTGGAGGAGATTACACATGAGCAGAGCTAAATTAAAAGCTACTGCAACAACATCGGAATTATTAAGCGGTTTCGCTATGGTGAGTATATCTCCATTCTTTTTTTTTTTTTAAATAAAAGGATGATGATACATTATTTCCTTGTAATTCTTTGAACGATAATTTATGACAACAATGATCGATTATCAGATTAATCGTTCATTCGCGATCGTTAATTATCCAATGCCTTGATACTTGGAACAATCGATGTAACGAGGACGTGTGTACAACGAATGTATTTTCATCGAATTAATTTTAATAGAGAAAAATTCTGTCGTAATGATAAATTTGTCGAAATATTTGTCATTGAACGATATTAAATCGTTCTTATTTTTTCCTCTTGGACAAGTTAATTTCCCAAGAAAATCGGTACTCGTATAATCAGAAAAATCCACGACGGATTACACAACGTTTCCTGAAAATCATTAAACAAACGTGGACGACAATTCCGTATAATCTTCGTAAACTTCGTTCTATGATTACATAAGGCAAATTTCAATATCACTTTCTTTAACGATACACCTCGTTTCGATGCAGGCTTAATTGATTTTTAAAATATATGTAAGGCAAAAGCACGAAGATAACAATATCTTCAAGGACTTACAACTTATATCTGTTGTGATAGCATTAATTTGTCAAACAGACTTGTCTTTATTAACAGGTATTAAAAATTATACGAGCCAACCTTTATTATTTTCTTTTTTTCCTTTTATCTTTTCAGATAGCTATGGTTGAACTGCAAATAAATGAGCCAACCGCGGTGCCCGAATGGCTGTTTGTGATGTTCGCTGTTTGCACAACCGTCCTAGTATCAGTACACATCTTTGCTTTAATGATAAGCACGTATTTATTGCCGAATATCGAGGCCGTCAGTAAACTTCACGTGTCTCGCCTCGTTTCGGAATCGCCTCATGAAAGAATGCGCGGCTTCATCGAGCTGGCTTGGGCATTTTCCACGGTATTAGGATTATTTTTGTTCCTAGTGGAGGTAGCTATACTGTGCTGGGTGAAATTCTGGGATTATTCGTTTACCGCCGCCACTGCCAGTACTATCATAGTCATTCCAGTCCTTATAGTGTTCATCGCGTTCGCCGTTCACTTCTATCATTCGTTAGTGGTATATAAATGCGAATCAACGGTGACTGATATGAACGAGTTGGAAAATATCAAGAGAAATTTAGATAATGTAGCGATGGGACAGAGCAGCGTATGATAAAAGATGTCGATTTTCAAATCAATTTCCAAGTCGATTGGTTGTGTCCTTGTCTTCTTAAAATACATCCCAGAGACTGCGTATTATTTATCCGTGTTTTACTGGAAAGTATTGTAATCATACTCAATAACGTATACGCTATACAGTACACACGTTAATAACGATGAAAGAAGAACACATGTAAGTTTATTCAATAACTTTACTTATTCAATACGATCACGCGAAAGCGACCGTATTTTTATTATATATAAAAATGTACATAGCTGTACACATGCAAGTCGAGAATTGCAACAGTACAAGCAAAGTGCTCTTATAAGTATATCAGCTATATTATTTAGCATTTAATTATATCCTATTTATGACTTAATTCCCAATTTCTTCTTTAAATGTATCTCTCATTTACCTTTTTATTTCATACATCATATCAATATATATATATATATATTATATATATCATTTTGTCACTTAGTTTGTGGAAAAACTGAAGGACAGTCGAGTGTGTTATTTATGTACATGCTTCCCATTCTGAAACTTATTATATCCTAGTCACAATAAGTTAGTTATCAGACTTGAAGATTCTCATTGATTAAAACGTGATTTGTTACATGAATTTATAAAAAAGAAGAAATGTAATTTTATGCATCTTTCACTTTCACCATAAACTAAGTTGTTAGTTTAATCTTATATCCGATATTTTCTACATTATTATGCATTAAATTTTGTTTGTACAAAAACAAACAATTTGAATTAAACATAGAAATGTAATTAAAGCAAGAACGTAATATAATCATTTTCCTATATAAAAAATAATTCAGGGATTTCACTCTAATAATGAAAGCATTGAAACACATTTTATTATTGCATAATATCTCTGATGAAATATTTTTCGTTTTTACTAAAAACGAAACTAAAATATTTAATTAAATTTTAACTTACAAAAATCAATTGTATAGTTGGCAATAATTGTAATAAATCGAATTAAAATTAATAATATAAAATTAATGTATTGAGTTAATATGTATATATACATATACATATATCTAATATGTACATTAAAAAAAAAAATTTCAAAATGTATATAAAAAATTATGAAATATTAATGCTGCATAATTTAAAAGGAAGAACAAAAATTTTTAAAGTAAAGAGAAAAATGAATCATAAAATGAGTTTTAAGCTTTCTAAACTTTAATAAAACGCAAAATTATTAATTTATTAAATTTATCTTCTTGAACAATGATCTCAAGTCTTTTTTTTTTTTTTTTTTTTTTTTTTTTTTTTTTTTTTTTTTTTTTTTTTTTTTTTTTTTTTTTTTTTTTTTTTTTTTTTTTTTTTTTTTTTTTTTTTTTTTTTTTTTTTTTTTTTTTTTTTTTTTTTTTTATGTTTATGTTTATAACGGAAGTAGTTAAAATATATTTTGTCACTTATGTTCTTATATTTTATAAGAGAAATAGATATTTCTTCTATATGATTTGAAATGATGTGTCCAAAGATTATTTTAAGATATATAATGAATAAGAATAACTGCTTGTGCTATGGACAGGTGAATAAAATATAGGAAGAATTACAGTTTTATACAAAAACTAATCGTATCAAAAAGAGTATTTTTATGAGTAAGATATTAAACATCTTGTATATGATATCTCGTAAAAATTGCTTAAATTCTTTGATTCACATTAATGTAAGCAAAAAAATATCGCGTATATAAATAATATTTTATTCATTTTTAGAAAATTTAGAATTATTAGTTTTTGTATAACACTAACATCAATCTATTAATATTATTAAAATAAGGACGAAAAGAGAAAAATGAAGTACCGAAATTTTTCTAATTAATAAAATTGCAATATGTTTTTTTTTTTCGTCCACGTAAAGTTTAGAGTTTAATTTCTATGTCAATATACAAGTGTACAAGTTATGATTATTTTAAACCAATATTATTCGGTGATTTATCTCATCTAATACCATGTTATATCATTCTAGATGCAAAACAGATTACATTACAAAAAACGTACCGCTTTTCTTAAAATATTCTTATCCATAAAATATATTTACAGATCAAAATTTAAATATACATACATATAATTCGTTCGTAATCTTTAGAATGTAATGAATAAAGTATTATAAAAACAAACAATAAACAACTAACACATTTTAAAGTCTAAATTTTTCATAATCTACAATAAGTAATATGAATATTATGAAAGCAATTATTCTATTTGAGACATATTGTGTAATATTGTATTACATATAATAATATATTGTATCATATCAATCTATGGTATTATAAATTGATACAAAGAAAATTGAACAAAAGTATTGATTTTGTTTCGAAAGAGAGACAGACTTTTAAATATATTGGCTTTCATACAATATTACTTTCAGTCTTGTTTTTAAATAAACATATAAAGTCTTTCTGGTGCCTATCCATAGCAAGAGCTTAGTTAAAACCTCTATTTTTCAATCATAAATCCTTCTTTCTTATCGAAGACATAGTCCTTGAAAATCAAAATATGAATACACAATTTCTTTTTTCTTTTTGACAATAAAATTTTACAACATTCATTTTTCATTTCATCAAAATTTTCCAACGTGTTATATAAAGTTAGCAAGACATTTGGCAAATAGAAATTGCTTGCTATTTATTCTAATAACAAACTGTAAACTTTTCCTTAAGTTTATAAAAACCAAAAAAATTTATATACATGTTTGCATAAAGAATGCTTTGTTCAATGCTAGCTCCAAGTAAAAGAAAATCACAACCTATACGCATACATTTATTAGATTTTCATCGAAATCGTCGAATAATTATTAAATTATCCATATCTATCCATAACTACTCGTTACATATAATCTGGTAAACAATATAAATTAAAAAGAATCTTTTTGCACAGAATATCACATACATTTGTAACGGTGTTATAATGAAATTATTAATATGTATACATATTTTATTTTTAATGTAAAAAAAAAGGAATAAAAAAATTGTGTATTTTGAATCATTAAAAATTTATATAGTAAACTCACTGTAAAATTAAAAAAAATATATATCCATTTTTTTAAATGAATTTTAGAACGCGTTTTTATTCATTTACAGAAATAGTAATTGATATCATTTATACGTTCATTTATTTATTTAATATTGAATTTAAGATATAAAATGAACGTTACTATAATCAGTATTTTAAATATAAAACTTTTTCAAAAACAGTTTTATCTTTCAATTTAATAAAAAGACTTTTCTGTTTGTATTATATTTTTAATTTTATATTAAATCAATGTCAAAATATAGTATACTTTATTTTTCTCGTGTATGAAATTGTGTAATTTGCATTGTAGCATTAAAAGACGCAAGTATAAAAAAAATTACTTACATTAAATGACATTGATAAAAATAAGGATGTTATGATAAGTGACAATAGGATTTTACAATTAGTTTTCCTTCCATAATGTGTAATATACACAAACCCATGACTGCTGTCAAACTTCCATATGTTTGGAAGGTTGTTGAGATATGAATGGTTCGCTCCACATTCGACGTAAATCTCCCTATAAATAACATATTTTTTACAATTTATAGTGTCAATATAAAAGAGATATTAAAAGAAATATTAAATGAAAAATACCTTCAAATATGCCATTGTAAGTAATGGCAATAAAGTAAAGGGCACAAGGTACAATAAGGCAGGTTGCGCAGCTTTGAACACCTCAGAGCTTACAGTAGCAGTAAGTAAACCAAGAAAATAACCAATGAGTGAACAATGGAAATAACTAATGCGATTGATGTGACGCGGCGGTGGAACTCCTGTTTCACAACCACCGGGCAACAATTGAGTCTTTTTGTACGCGTCATATCGTAAAACGAAGCAAAGCAATAGTCCTGGCATAACAACATCGCCAAGACCTAACATTGAAAAATGTCCTGCTTGATGCATCGATGGAAATACTAATTTTCCAGGTAATGGAAGTTTTGGTGCTTCTCTTGCTACACCACCTAAGTGCAATCTTCTAGCCACAAGATTCACTGGATTATCTGCTGGTCTAGTTGCTACCTATCATTGACAAAAAATAAAAATAAAAATCATTTAATATAAATATTTTTTTATTATAAATTTCTTCAAACTTACCTTAACCATTACATTTGTGCTGAATATATAGGATGAAAAGAAAACCCAGAAGACATCATAAATGAGTAATCCAGTTAATAATATAGTGGATACCTTTAGACTAGGTAATCGAATGAATGCAATGAATGCTACACATAGTCCCATACCCATTGCGTCCATAAGAAGCCAATGTCCAGTCAGTACCCAAATGCATACTATACTCACACTTAATGAAAATGAAAGTAATTCTGCACCAGTAAACCTTCCACATACACCAAAGGATATTTTGTTACCATCTGAACATGGTCTAATAATATATTGACACATGGGTAAAAGAAGAAATGCCAGTGCAACTGCAGCTACAACTGTAAGAGAAATATCTTTGATATTTATAGCTATTCTTTATTTAAATAATAATAACAATAATTAAAATAAAAAAATTATTGTCCCATAAAACTTACTAGCTGTACAGATTGCTACAAGCATTTGCATGCTGTCAAAAAAGAAAAACATGACGAGTAGAGAAATGGAAGCACCAAGAGGTAGACAGAGAGCATGCATTGTATTTAAGGTTTGAACTCTTCCATTAGCACCATCTGCATTTGCTGTGCTACTGTTACTCAAAATTCCAGTCAATAAATTACCACGTTCCTTTTCTTTTTCTCTTTCTCTAGCTTCTTGTTCCATATTTAAAGATCGGAAACTACCATAGACTATCAATAAAATTGATATTAGGAATGTGGATATTCTAGATGAATCCATTATGGTATAAGCCCTAAAATAATACTTGACTTGTAATTGAATATCAATATGAATTTCAATTATGAATTGTTTAATTTATGATTCATATTAATAACAATATAAATATTATATTAAAAATAATAACATATTAATGATAAAATTAATATTAATTCAGAAACTAACCACTGATAGTCAACTTGATACGTGGCCATTTTTAAAAATGCCTGGCCAAAGCATGAAACGTTATGCTAGGACACCTTCTGACATTTAGATGTCCTATTTAAAAGTGCTTTCTGCTTGCACTAACCTATATCAGAGATCATCTGTAATTACTGTAAATATAATATGTTAATATCTATAACATAAAAATCTTCAAAAATAAAAACACAGTATGTATACCTGCAATGCTTTGTATTCAACATTGTCAGTAATGAAAATAGGCCTTGTACAACTTCGGTCACCCCCTTTAAAATATAAAATAAAAAAATTAGTGGCATCAAACTATGAAATACAACGATTAAAATTACTTTCAAAGTAATTACATAAAGATATGAAGTTCAGTCATCCGGAATGGGAACGCAAAAAAATAGTAATCCAATAGGTCAGAGTTTAAAAAAATTGCGTAATTAATAAGGCAGTTATCACATCGTGAGTAAATATACTCAAAAAATTCGTAACGAATTGCAATAATTCTAATAGATCAGAAAAATCGAGAGCTTATATGTATACTGTAAAGACACTTTCGTACAACTACTTTCAAACTTTCGCTACAATCATTTGTGACAACCAAATGTAGCGCGAATATAATACAAGCTACAGTTGCTCGTTATGAAATATTAACGTTAACGGTAACCTCATTATAATTCTGTTTCTGTTTTATTATATATGTCACAGATAAATTAATAGCTATTAGAAAAAATTGAAAATTACTTATAAAATATAAATGTACACCATTTTGGTAAACAGAAGGGTCACGTGACTAGCTGTGGCCCCAAGAGGTTGCTACTCCCTTACCCCAGATTATGTCTCAAAGGAATATTTTAGAGATAAAGATATTTTACCTGGGCGGTCCGAAGTTTGGCCCTTTTGTAGGTTCTCTCATCACCTCATGTATACTACACGATTTATAAACGAAAAAATCGTGACAAAATTCGAAAACACAGAAAAATATAATAGCGCGCGATCAGTCAACTATCACAGTTAACTACACAGGTCAACTGCTGGTTGACAGGCGCAGACTTGCGTTGAGTTTCTCTACTGGGTGTTCAAAACATACTAACTTTAAAAAACTATATATAATAATAGCAAGCATGATTATTTATTTCAAATAAACAAGCCAGAGTTTTTTTTCTATTTAAATAATAAATTCTACTTTGAAATATGTAATAGTTGATATGTGAATCTGTATTTTATTATACAATAATTATATTACGTATATTATTTGTACAATATAACATATAAAAATATATTATATTCTTTTAATTATAAAAAAAAAAAGATCTTTTTAATTTAAATTAAGAGAAAATAATTTTGATTATTTATTATTTACATTTCTTAAATTTCAACTAGTAAGAATCATTTTTATTATATGTTGTATTTTTCTTTTAATTTAAAAAAATTTATATATATATATTTATTTAATCAAAGAATTTTATCAATACACTAGTATAAATTTATTTAGATTGTATTATTTGAAGATAAGGGATCATAAGAAAAAAAATTATACAATAATTTATTTATTAAACGTTTGATTATATTTGATTATTTTTAATCCAAATTAATCCAAAATCCAAATTTTTTAAATCAAATTAATTTAGTAA